TATATAAATAAACACACACACACACACACACACACACATATATATATATATATATATATATTAGTATATATATATAAATATATATATATGTATGTGTGTGTATGCGTGTGCGTGTGGGTATATATATATACATATATATCTAAATATCTATACAAATACAAATACATATACATATATATATATTTATATATATATATATATAAGAGCGTGTGCATTGTCTGGCGTATATATATGAATGGGGCTGGTGTTTGTATTTATATGTGTGCAACTTATAGATCGATATCAAGCCATTTGACATGAGTATACCTGAATACATTCAATTTCTACCTATTGACTATTTTGTCTGACTACAATCGAGGGGTATACATCGGTTGGACTCGGACCAACCATAAAAAAATCACATCGATATGTCCCGAAACGTCCGTGGCCAGTGTGAGAAGAGTGCCGTTTAAAGCAGTTTCCTTGCAGATGACTACAAAATGCGCAGGCACACACACCCTGCCATGTGCTCTCACGCCTCATCAAGCATACAGACACACTTGAACGTTTGTTTCCAACCAAATACACATACAAGTACTTATGCACATGAGAACATAGTAACGCAACCTCACCTGCAGAGTTCTGTGCCCTGGGGTATGGTGACAATGGTGGTGGTGGTATTGTAATCGTAGCGAGGACCAATGACAGTAGGGACGACTACGGCTGCGATAAAAAAAAAGAGGCAGTCACAAACTCAGGCCCAGCGGATCGTTTGTGTAAACGTCTGACTAGTCTCCGCCTTGAAACCATATGCGAGGCATGAAAGTAGGCCTAAGCAGAATGTGTGTGTACGTCTACCCACAGTCTACCGTCCGTCAACTGAGTCTAGATGAGCAGACATGGTTAGAATCGTGGTTTGCATCGGATTCTTAACGTTAAAGGGACAGAGTCTCTAAGAGTCAGACAAGCCATCAACCGGTGATCAATGCAACTCGGAAGGATGCTGCAAGTACACAGTAGCGTGAAATGGCATACGCAGGCTGTTATCAATTGAGATAGTAATGCATAAATATGGTTTATCACGAGTGTCTGCTTCGGCCCACGCGTGGCCTGCTCCAACCCCCTCCACACTACACATACACGCTGTGCTGTGAGAACACACACTAAACTCGATTGCGTGCAGGACATCAGATCTGCTCTGCTTGGTCATGGTAGTTGTAGACGTGGTAACTAGAGCGCAGATACGTCATGCTTATGTCTCGAATGCGGAACACGTGATATCACCACACGCACTTACTAGTACTGGGTGTGTCGGTGGGAGGTTCTTCCTCCTTGAGTGTCTTGGTGGTGTGGATTCGCATGTACAGTTGGTGGCCTGTGCGCGCACTGTTGAGCTCTGCGTGCTTGCGGCACATTGCTGTAACGGGTATGAGAAGATGGATAAATATTTGCTGAACGAATTCGTATTCAACGACAAGATTTAGCCTTCAAATTGAACAATCCACAGTCGATGTGCACACGATATACATGATTTCTCTGCCCATACACGCATGGCTAGAGAGGGCAGGCTTCATCAGTACGCATCTCATCGGAGGATTCGAACGCGTTTGGACAGGTACAGCGGGTAGAAGTCCGGTGCGACAGAGATGAATCGGTTTAGTATGAACACCTACCACACGTGTAACGAACACGACAGTGTATTTTAATTCAGCTGTCATGTGCTGCTAAGTCATAATAGACAGACATAACAAGTCATAATAGACAGGCGTATTACGTCATAGTAGACAGACTTATTAAGTCATAAAAGACAGACTTATCAAGTCACAATAGACAGGCTTATTAAGTCGGGAAATCCAGCTAATGAAGCGGAAGCAAAGGCATCTCTATCCTTAGGTGACAACATCCATATGATACCAATCAATGGTGGGATGGGCATTGTGAAAGGAAGTAGGATGGCCAAAGACAGTCGGAAGACTGGACAGGGCTATTCGTGGGAGGATTTGGATTATTCAAAAGTACTAACACTAAGCGAGAACTAACACTAAGCGAAAGTGAGACGAACACTAACGGAGACTTCGAGTGGGTGGGGTTTCGCGCAACAGGATTATGGGCCGCACCCCACACTGAGGCTATGTGATAGTTTGATGAATATGAGGGATTCTGTCCCGAGGGAATCGAGAACAGAGCGAAAGCCGCTCATCAATTGAACACACATACTGCGGCAATCGCGTGCGCACACATCCCATGTATAAATACAGTGCAGGATGATGTGTGTGTGTGTGCAGGTTCAACCCTAAATGCAGTTCGTAACACGGATATATACAACTATGAAATGATTCACACTCGCACCCGAACCCTCTGCGGACATCACAAACACCCTTGTAAATAGGCGAAAGTATTTATATACAAATTCACATTCAATGATTTGCATGGCCCCCACACGCATGTACAGTACACACATACACACGTACTGTACACACGCACACTTTAGGACACTCCCACACACTTGCTGTGTTTCTCGCCTACCCACAGCGAACACATACCTCGCCACGCGTGCAGGCACACAAACAATCCCTCCGAACTTTCGGCGTTGTCGAAGCAGAAGATGCATTCGTCTTTGTATACTTTATCACTTCGTGAAGGGACTCTCACAGAGCCCAAATACCCATCCAACGCCGCCGAAAGCGTGGCACTGCGTTTAGCATCACGCGGACCATCCACAGGACTATCGCTGAAAATGAATGAAAGAGAGGCGGATATATCCGTTACTTAAAGCTGGTGGTGCATGCGTGTGTGTGTATATGAACACATAGCAGCGAAATACCACTGACAATGTGTGAGTGAGTAAATTGAACATGTGTACATACTGTCATATAATCATACCTATATGATAAAATTATGTAAGCATATATGTATATATGTA